GACTCACACTACCATTTATCAGAGCAGGAACAACTGGATCACGATAATACTCCTTGTCACACAGCAATGTTAATAAACGAGTTTTTGGCCAGTAAAAACATTGCTGTGACTCCTCAGCCTCCTTATTCACGTGACTTGAGTCCTTGTGGCTTTCTTCTCTCTTAGTTGAAAATCCATCATTTTGGGACAGTCGAAAACATTGAAACTTCTGTAACCGACCCCCTGAACACTATTCCAGTATCGTAGTGAAGAAGTGGAAGATACGAGTTTTTTGAGGGTGACAATATCAAATTTTAATTATATTTGAATAGAAAAATAAGAACAAATCAGTATCACCATTTAATTTACAGACCTCCTTTGTAGCTTATTATAATAAAGATGTATGGTACTAACTCTAAAAATTGGTGGATAAACATGCAATTAATTCACCATAAAATATGAGATAACATGTAAAATTGTTAGTACTCATCAGCAATTCAAAGTAAGTTGTGGTTTTGATTTCTTTCTACATGAGTGTGTGTACAAGAGTCAGTCGGTCTGTCTTTACCAGTACAACTAGCGGCTAATTACGAAGTGAAACGATGACGCGGAATTACTTAATTCAATTATGTAAAGCGACATCATTAGTTTTATTGGGTTGCTTACTGTATGTAGATCAAAATTAATACGGTTTATTCGGACTAATGAGCCGTGTATTCCAGGAAATAATATCGCTTTGGTGCCTAAGGAAACCTAATTTTTGCGTATTCGTGAACAGACTAGACATACCACTTACTTGTTACTAACGTCGAGTTCACTTGATATTTTAACTATTAAGGAGAGAAAAACGTACAAGATCTACGCGGGTAATCCCCAGGGATCGGTTTTGTCTCAGATGTTTCTTCTTATCACCTCTTATCACAAGATTTTTGCCACCTAACAAGCGTTGGGCAAACTTTTCTATAAATAAATTAGTCCCATTAGGTCCGCTGATACCTCAACCTAATTAGCAACTTTTGACTTATAATAATGTATGTATGTACGTACATACGCACACGCGTAAACTTATAGTTTAAGGGATAAATCAAAGTCGCTGTAGGTTTGATGTCACGATGTCATTGGTAACGACATTCGTGAATTCTTCATGGATATACCGCTGTTGCAGAATGTCTTGCAGCTGTACACCCGAAGTGATTTCCACGTAACACATATAGGAGGTATGACAATCGATTAACGAGAAATGCAGGTGTCACGGACAATTAAATTAAAAACATAAATGTGGCTATTTTTGGTGCAATGACGTTGCGCATAAAAGCTTCAAGGAACAGCATATTTCATGATGGACATTTTCCTTTCGATTTGAGGCACGCCTCAAAACTTCATCTATAAAGAGCATGATTTCCACGAATACACAAATATATACTTACAATATATATATATATATAGTCCCCAATAACGACGGTTAAGTTAGTTAGAATTTAGATTTCAAGCGAACAATTTTCTTTTGATACTGAACTGAATCGAGTAAATCTACCGTATAGGGCACTAAATATTATTCAGTTAGGGGATATTTTACAGGTTTTACGAATAATTCCTGTCTGAAATCTGACCTCCCTCAATGAAGTGTGTTTGTGGGATTTTTTTTTGGAAAAGTTGCAATTCTGGGGGATGTTTATGCTTGTTCTGGGAGAATTCTGTCTGGCTCATCTGACAATGGTGCTGTGCTTGCTGGCGATGCTGTCAGACGCAAGTCAGGAATCGGCGTATAAAAATCGCCTTTGCGGCTGAGCGCGAGTCTCGTCTATAAATACTTCTATTTTGTGTTATAAGGGCAAGTGTACGAGGAAACCTTAGATGTACTGATAGGTGCGTAAAATTACTGGGGTTGGAAACGTATACATATACTGCCACCAATAAAATGATATATACCTTCGCCCACCCCCTACAACCCTGAACCCCCGATTTTCAATACTTACAAAAAATATTCTGAAAATGATGAGAAGCCTTGGAAATGCTAGAAAACGTAGTTAGCCGCTTCTTATTTTTTTCGTGTTTTTGGTCCTAGCTCCGCCAACACGCGACAAATTTTCAAAAATGTCAAAGCTTCTTTGGCATAGTAATAATGTGTGTAATAATTGTGTGGAAATTTCATCCAAATCCGAGCAGTACTTTGCATGACCGACGGAAATGAGTGTCATGGTTTTTCGCGATGTACATATTATATAAAATTAATCAAAAAAACATAATATCTCATATTCAAATTTTCCGCACACACCTCCTCGCCAGCGTCGAAAATGAAATGTAGATATGTACCTAAACGCGTAAAGTTAGAGATTTAATTTCTTTCATCCCATATCTTTGAAAATGTGAAAAACTTGATAAACGTAATGAATAGTATATTTAAAAGACACATATATAATTGAAATAAAGCTTGAAGCTACCTGAAGCCAGGAACCTACGACAGACCAGAATGCTTCTCAAACTTGTTCAAGTTCATGGATGTATTAAATGATACTTTGAATACTTTCTTAGCTCTTCAACAAAGTTACAAAGTTACAAATCCTTAGCATTGGTATGCTGGTTACTGAGACCACGCATAACAAATATCATGGTGTCAAGAAATCATAACTTGTGTCTACTTGCGAGAGGGAAGGGATTTTAGTAACATCCCGCTATCTACGTAAAAACCGCATTATTTTGTTTGCTGCTTACACAATACACATGTTTATATTAATGATTATTATAAAATCTACATATAATTAATTCCTTGACCTAATAATGAGATCCAACGAACTTTTTCCTACCTAGGACAATGAGACAGCTAATTACAGTTTGCAAGCTGCTACTACCAGGTTGAAATTATGTAGTTTAATCAAAAATCATAGCAACTTTAACTTTGTATTTAACAGTTCATTATTTCTCTAGATAAACCTGATAATGGAGCCGCTATTTGAGAAATCTAGTTTGCAGCTGATGAAATTAAAATCATAATTATTCAAATGGTGTATGTGTACGTAAACAAAGAATTTAAAATACCCATTTAATTAACATACAGCCTAGCAAACATTATTTTTTGTATATGTATGTACGGCTCGGAAGTTAGTAATTACTGTTTAGCATTATTTGTATCGATCTTATTGGAACAAATGCTATGGAAACATTCCCTCACAATCAGCAATTTTCTGATAAATTAAATGATAAAATATTGAAACTTGGAAGCTTATCTGACGACTTATTACCTGACAATTTACGTACGGGTGATGATAGCATAACTTTTAACACAGCACTGAGTGTAACGTGTACTTTTTGTTGATGATAGATATTTCTTATGTTCTTTTTTGTTCTTTATCCAGCCTAGACATTGAGGCAGTGAAAACGGAGATACCTGAAATAATCTCAAATTATTTTACCTACTTTTTTGTATTCTTTACGTTTTAGCTGGCATAAGGCGGCAAGACGGATACAATATAGGCGGTGCAGAAAAATTCGTACATGCGAAACAAGTTTTATTGCTTTTCTGATCATACTTAAAAAAGCTGGGTTACTTTTATGTCTTTTTAATTGCAACAAATCAAGTCGGCGCGATACCATGAATCCAGTGGTGCCAAACTGAAAGCTGCCAAGACAAGCTGGAGATGCATCGCTTGCTTTTAACTTTTATGGATAATAAAAATATTTCGAAAACCGTCGAAACAAAAAGTCCATAAAGCAGTATTTAAGTATAATTAGTTAGTCCGGTTTTAAGGGTGGGGAAGGGGTGGTTCTATATATTCGACTGATGACGTCTATTGGTCAAATAAACAAGTTGATATTAGTAAGAATTGAATTTCAAGCATACCTTTCTCTTTTGTTGCTAAACTAAATCGTGTAATATTCCGCGAAGTTCAGAATAACTATAAAGTTATGCTTAAGATAAAAAATGTCTAACTTCAAATTGCTCATTTGACCAATCTGCGTCGTCAGTCGTATGTATCTATATGTTAAACGAAGACTTTTCGGACCTATGACTGTATGAAACATTTTCATTACTAACGTATTAAATCTGCCCTTCAATTTCCATGACAACTTTCAATAACACCCTATATACATAACCTTTTTTAATTATAAAGAGGTTCTGCGTAGTGATGTTTCAGATAATCCATGTGGAAGTTTTTGACACTTCAAATCTGTAATTATTTGAATATTTGCGTCAAGATGATTGCAGGATCCATATAATAATAATTCTGGTTTTATTATGGGGAAATTTAGACAACTCTTACATTTAACCCTGTTTAGAAAGCAAATGATGCAGGAATTTACAGAATATGTATCACTTGCAAAATCAAAATGTGAAACGAGCTATGTAACTCTGCTAGTAGCATTTGCCTAATATTCTTTTTAAATTATTGTGATAATGTAATTTCACAGCGTTATATGAGGAAAATCTTTAGAATAGTGTTGAATGGTGACGATTTATATCCCCAGGTCTTAAATTCTAGAATGTATGTTTCTTCTAGGTATACGAGTAAGTTTATCAAATTTATTAATTCATGTATAAAAGTGGTAGTAAGTAACTTTGTAGTTTATTCAATATTCAGTCATCCAATTTCTTTCAACTGTGCTGATATATGATCATATTTTCTTAGTCCATAAACAAATCGAGGGCAAGAATTTTGCACTTTCTGTAGACGTATCTTCGTCACACTGTCCAAGTGTCCAGTCAGCTGTATTTATTGTATGGTGGGCATGACCAACGATTTGCATAAGGTTTTTCAATACTAGTACTAAGCACCTGTTTGTTCGAATAAAAAAAAAATTGAATAAGAGTTTTGTATAATACTGTGGAAATGATTATGGAATCTTATCTGTGAATTCTAAATTACCGTTCAATATACTTGTGTTAAGATGTAACCTTATGTGATTAAAACATCTTTTTTGACGAAATAACATTGAATTACACTTATTTTGACTTAATGACAGGCTGTAGTTAGTAGCATATCTGACAACACTATCTGTATCTTCATTTCTTAAATTTGTTGTAGTTTTCCGGACTAAAGTGGTGAATCAACTGGGTATCATCTGCATGAGCAGATATAAAACAGTGCGACAATGTAGTCTGAAAATCGGTAGTGTAAATTAGGAAATCTTTGAGGACTGCATCCTGCCGCGAAAGGGTAGATGTGGCAAACGCGCGATCGAGTGGATCCAGCTCAGGCCATTCCGAGAGGCGCTTGGGCGTACGCAGCTCCAATCTGATATATTCCAACTATAAAATTATACCTTACCGGAGAATATATAATAATAAATTCTGATAATTATCATCATTATACGCCGAAGATGTATTTTATTATATTTGTTTGTAATTTTTCACGAACAAAATATGCAATTTTCCGGTAGTCGCTATTTGTTATTGACGTATTAATCAATTTACCCGCGTTCCTTCGTGTGCTTGTCATGAAAAAATTAGAGAGTGAGTTGACAGTCATGTCTTGTAGTTTCCTATGTAAGAATGATCGTCGAGGATGAGCTGATTAATCGCTAATCTGTCCATTTCCTAGAAGTACTGAATTGATATAATCAAGTCTTCTAAGTGTACAGTACCACTACATTACCTGGTTCCCCTTCCAGCGAAGTTGAGTATAGCCCTGAGCTGTAGCTCCTTAACATTCTGGGCATCCAAAGTGTTGGAGCCCAGTAGGCTTGTAGTAGCTAAGAGCAGAGGTCACCTCCTCTAACCCCCAGCGCTCACATATGGGATTCTCAGCCACCCCCATCGCATGCATGTGGCGACTCATCGTGTTATGGCCAGACAACAGTCCCACCAATTACCTGAGTTTGGCTCTATCCATTGGTAAGCAAAAGTGACCTACGATGAGCTCCCGTGCCTGACAGAGATGTCTAGACATACTTCTATATTCCAGGAAATGTTAATACCATTCCGCGGAGTTCCCGTAGGTTAGTTATAGAGAGTCAGTACTCCCCCAGAATGAATTTTAGCCTCAAAGCAAATGCTTAGCTAAACCTCTTTGTATTTAAGGTTCATAGTTATACTTTATACAAGGATGCATTGCTAAGTGTCATATTAGTCTAAGATACAAATTAGAAATGATATTCACTCTGTTTAATGGATGAAAAGTATTTTTTATCAAATTTGGTATGTTAAACAATATATCGCGCGTGGGTTGGCCTAAAGATTCCTGGTGAATCTACGATTATTAAAACAAAAACGGAAAATAATTACTTTTTATCGAACAAAATAATAATATTGTTACATCTTGCATAGTCGGTAGGTCTCAGTTTGTTGTTCAGTGGGTACATACACGTATTTCAACCCTTATGCTTATACACTTATGTCTACGATCGCATTGTTGTGATAAAAATTGTTAAAAGGTGTGTCTCGTGTGATACTAAATTTGATATAAAATACTTTTCATAAATTGAACAGATGGGTGAAGGTCGTTTCCACTTCGGATCTTCTACTGTTACTAAGTACTTCTGTGTGGGAATTATAGACTATTAAGTGTATATAAGAAATTTTTAATAGTTTTGATTCAAACGGCAAAGGGACCCAGGACCTAGAGTTCTGGTTCCAACAGCCCTTTTCATGGTGATTGTGAGTAAAACTCTCTTGCGATTGTGCCCATTGTCAGTAATGTCTTTCTTCTCTTAGATGATATTTTACCTCGTAGAGCTTCTGTGGGCAATCGCTTTGTAGCCAGGCTTATTCAAGTTAGATAAAGATGCGCCATGATAGCACGTTTGTTCGTAAATTACAACATTTGATACATATGCTTCTCTACTACGAGTGCTGTTACTTTTATTAGAAAAATTATTAATTACAATTTCTAATGCTGTTCAGAAGTAGTAGTAACATAGGGTCGTCTGTGAGTCTTATACATGCATTTGCTCCCTGATTCTTTCTTTTCGATTAAGCATTTTATCACTTTTTTATACTTGTTCGGCCGCTTACGAAGGCGCTATAGGGGGAAACAGAGGGAAAGAGGAATCTAGCAAGGGACCTCGTGTATATGCAACATGCACAGATTCTGGCCCCGCCTTAGAGATCCGCCGGGTGGTACCTACAAGCTTGACACTCTGGGACCGTCTACGACCTATAGACAATCATAACATCCATAGCCAATAGAAAAATTTGCTTGGAACGGGACTCCAGAAAGCAAACAAATTCTTGTCATCCTGCTTAATTCAGTTCAGCATATCCAATTTATCGGATTTTTGATGTGCCATCAAGTATCCCTGTTAATATGCTAATCACCTTTTCAGCGTTGCGTCGGCTTTAGGCTTCTGTATGAAGATTTTGAAGGTTCAAAGTTATGCCGCCACTTATTATACAAATACATTTTTATGAGCCACCTGTCATTTGCCGTAGGTTTAGTGGGAATTCGGGGTAGAGCATTTAAATTTCACGTTATAGGTCATATGAAGAGATGGAACTTCTTATAATTATTAAAGGAGCTGGAATATCTGATATACGCGTATACACTATGTTTAGGGTGGCAGACGCTTTTAAAAATAAACCAAAAAAATCTAGAATGTGCCCTTACTGGGTTGCAGCGAACTGCAATTTTTTACGGTACCGAAGAGAATTTTAATATCTGTGCTTGGCATATTAACCACTGGCAACTGACATTCAACTATTCTTTTAACTTGTTATTTAGCGCTGGCAGTCATGAGTTCTGTGTTACATTGTATCAGGTTTGTCTGACACGGAATGCATCCAAATAAATAAAATACCGATATCCTCACATGTTCTATTAAATAAAACTTGAACATAAAAATTGACATTCTATAAAAAAGCCACATGTAGTTCAGTGTCTGGGCGCATTTCAACCATATTTTAAAACTTTTCGGTATCCTTAGTCCTATAGATAGGAGCCATCGCTTAAGTTGGGTTACTGATGTAGGAGCAAGTTCTTTGATGTCTTACCATTCATCATACTCCTGAAATTCTTACATTTAGAAGGGTTATTGTTATTCTTCATGCCCATAAGAAAGTAAAGAGTAGATACAGAACAGAATAATAGGAGTTTGTGGCAGGGCTCATGCGTTTTTTAATTTTCCTCGTATAATAATAACATGGCAGATCTCCACTAGACGGACAAAACAAAAACAATACACAAACTCGTTCCAAATAAAACAAAACTGTAAGTTTTCGCAAACATGTTGAAGACTGGCGTTTCTTGCGACAGTTTGAGTTTGATAACAGTTAAAAATCTTAAATTAAATTTAAATATTTAAATTTAAAAATTAAAAATATTTTATGACTAAGTACTGTGAAATAATTTCATTTATTGGTTTACCAACAGCGATATGTAATAGTAATTCAGTAAATAGCAAATTAGCCCCACGAAAATAATGTGCCCTATACTGTCTAGGTTTTGCGAACACGATGAAGTTGACTTGCCTCGACTTGGTTGTCGGTTGTTACCATTTTCATTTATAGATACACTGGTAGTCCGTCGGGGACCGCCAGAAGATTTGGTTACTCACTTCTCACCCCTCAATAGCCGTTTTGGTTACCGGCTGTAATGTGCGTGCAATTAAAGTTGGATGAGTGTCGCTGCGTAATCGATCAACTACTTGAAAAGTCATTCTCCTTGTATATTTTTTAAGAAAAAAAGGAGACCATTGAAGATGGAAGACCAACACCTATTTTAGATAATTTTAAAAAGGAATAAAAAAACCTAGTTTGATATTTTAAATTAAGTTGATATATGGAAACTCTTGGTTATGTGGTTGCAAAAAAACAGATTGTATTATGTCTTCTGTTTTATACAGAAAAAAAATGGGTGGACCAGCAGCGGAGTCAACGATTTAAATAGTTTTAGGGCTCTAAAGAGGAGACATGAAATTTATCCGTTTCATGTGAGATGTGTAGCCAATTTAATTCAGTTTGGCAAAACAAGAATCGAAAGTTGTCTTAACCAAGCTTTTAGGCAGCACACTTCTAGATACCGTATGTTTTTTGGCAAAACAGGAATTACCGTTCATTTTGAAGGGGTGACTCTTACAGGGAATTGTTAACATTCATTGCCAAAAAAGATCAAAAATTTTCCGAACATCTAGAAACGTCGAATGTTTTTTCGAACGGCTTGGATTTGTCATAGCATAAGACGATGAGGTATATCAAGTGCCCCAGACGCTCAGTCCAAAAATGTTTACCTTAATTTAAAAATAGTTTAAATAAAATACCTAAAAAAAAACAAAAACTTATATTTGGGAGGTTCAAAATAAACTTTTGTTGGTAACAGTTTAGAAAAGTCACGCGTCGCCACTGATTGTTGCCTTGCTAGTCTGAAAACAAATTCTGTAATAAATTAGAAGATAAGTAAATAACGATTTGTTTATAGATAAAAAATTTGTTTTGGGGTATTTAGTATAGTTGGCTTTGATAACTTCCCCAGTAACCTCAGTGTTACTGCTAATCGATCTTTTACAGACATTTTATCTCTGAAGTTCGTGCTTAACTTTGCTACTTTTCGGCCAATTAATGTAATAAGCTCTTCAACATAAAGAAAGACATTTTCAGAAGGTAATGAAATAAGGTACGATGTTCCCATGCAATCCAATTTCATCAGTTTGGACATAATTCATCAATTGTCCAGCAGTATCGATTACCCTTCTAGATAAATGTGATCGAACCTAATATCTGCGTGGGAACTTTCTTCTTCTACTAAAGAATAATACTATTTTAATCATAAATAAACATATACTCTTATGTACGGTTATAGCGCTCACTAGTTTATAGACACATATAGCTACTGACCCAGCTTTTTTCTTATAGACACCGTACATACTTGTATATACATTTACCTTCTCCCAAGGACTTTAGTTCAACCAGCATTGAATAAGAATAAACAGGCTTCTTTTCAAACATGCTAGTTGTTAACTGAAGAAAAAGTGTGCTTTGACTTCCTCGCGAAAAAAATAACTAGGATCGAACAAAATGTAGCCCGCTTGATGGAAACAAGGCTTTTGGGTTTGGTTCAGTTCTGTTTTTATTTTTTAGGTTTTAGAAAATACAAACACAACATACATACCACCTTTTCTTGTAAAGAAAAATTACTTCCATGAA